AAGTTTTAAAATCTCCGTTTTTGAAGAAAAATAATGTAAAATTTAAAATCCCTTTTTTGGAACTACCAGAAAAGCAGATTTTTTTGGGTCATTTGCAACTTTATTTTACGAACAGCGTAATTTTTCCGACTTTCAAAGAAAAGAATTATTTATGCTTGGGGTAGTTTTTTTTTATTCAGTCAATTTTTGGCGATCGAAATAATAGTTTCAACAAAAAATGTTGAGACCCCATTGAAGATATCTACTACCTGAAATCCAATTTCAAAAGATGTTTTACCGACAGTCATTTTCATCAAAGTTTTTGGAGTTTGAAAGAGCCAATTTGGTCATGCTCTGAACTAGTTTATGCGCGCTTTGAAGAATTTATCCATAACTCAGAAAGCCTAACGCGTACTATTTATGCGGACAAATTATTTTGGACAATTAAATCGTTTAAAATAGATTGAGGCTAGCTAATCTTTCGTAATACTTTGTACTTGTACACTTGATCTTTCATATTGTCCAAAATTTATAATTTTTTGCAATTTTTTTCCCCAAAAACTGTTCGATATAGATTGAGGGACAGTCGTAACATTCAGGGCTTTGCCCTGATATACGAGCAATCTTCTTTTCTTTTCGTTTTGTAAACGTGTAACGAGTATTTTAAAAATAAAAGCAAATCCGCGAAGAAATAGATTCAGCACGAACAACTACGACGTTTCTTGGAATAAAACCACGCGATTAAAATACGTATCATCATATTATTCAAGAGCACGTTGCCTGAAACAAAATTCAAGAGCACGTTGCCATGTTTTTTTTCCAATCCTAGTCGACAAAATTGGTTATCAAAAATTACTCTGCCAATCCTGACATTAAGACAATCAAAAGAACATGATGAGGGGATCTCCCCTGCATAAGCTGCTACGCTTTTATTTTTGTAGAAAACGATTTCTAGCCTTAGGCACACGTCTCTCATCACGATAGTCATGCGTTTGAATCCCACTTCGGTCACGGTTGGAGGGTCCCAGAGTCATCCGCCTCCTCCCACACGGTGGGTCCTGCACTGAGCTGGACCGGGGGTTAACAAAAAGCCTTAGATGATGCCCAACGCTTGAAAGTTTTATCGTTTCTTGGAAACTTCCTTTTTCATCGAAAACTACTTTGCCAAAAATCTGAGATCAAGTGTTCAATCGCACTAACTGGTGTTCTAAATTCTCCCTGCATGAACGGATACACCCTGTTTTTTTTTAGTAGAAAAAGTTATAGCCATAAACTTAGTTCATTTTTTCATTTTTAAGGTTTGGCGATTCAAACGATTTTGTCATTTTTAAGTTTTGGCGATTGGAAACTTACGTTTTTCTTTAAAATACCCCAGACCTCAAAAATGGCTCTAAAACACTCGAAATATTCCAATTTTTGAACTGAAATTTGACCGTTTTTTTTTTCTAATTTTTCAAAGTTTTTTAAAAATATATATCCCTTCGAATTTTAGGTAACGGTTTCAATCGAAAAATTATGCTCTAGGATGTTTACCTGCATAGCGGCTAAGCTCTAATTTTTTGTAGAAAAGTTTTGTCTTTAGTGTGGCTTTTTTTCCAGACAAATTTCATCTTTAGTGCTGGCCATTTTGACAGTTTTTTTAATATCTGATAAGTTTTGACGTTTTGATGTCAAATTTGAAAAGGAAGTTCAGCTGCCATTTTTTTCTAACAGAAAGTTTAAAAAAATTTAAAAACTGCGCTTTTGGGATAATTATTGCGCTATATATCCGTCCAAATGACGCGTACGCGGCAAATTAACGAAAAAATTGTTCCAACTTGCTTTGAGATAAGCTATTTTGATTTATTACACCTTTTTAAGGACCATTGAACAATCGGTAAATTGAAAAGAATTTTAGGTAATTTCTATTGAAAGAACATTTTTTTTCGTAAGTTCTAAAGATTAGAAAAATGATAGAGTGCTCACAAGTGACTTCAATTGAAAACATGTTTTTTCAAATGATAAGGACAGAATATAATATACAGAACCAACGGTTTTTATGCAACATTAATTGTTCATTCATCTATTTCATTCCTGGCCAAACAATCCGGGATATATGTCATCGTATGGTTGTACCAACCAACACATTTCTGTGTGGTAATATCACAACTTGTTCGTTCCACAATAAATTTGACGTGATATGTTCCCAAACAGTCGGCCAAAGCTATGTAATCTTCTCCACGCGAATCCGATTCGATTAAACGTCGTTTGTCCATACATGAAATTTTTTTATACTTGCCAATTTTGAATGTGAATCAATTGGAATTTCACAATTTCAAAAGAACTTATGAACACACATTTGAGCATGCATTATTTCTTGACTTTCAATTGAAAACACGGTTTGTTCAAAAGATGTCACCAACATTTCAAAAGGCTTTGAAATGGTGTAATACTTTGCTAGACGCTAATTTTAGTTATTGCCAATTTATTGGCAATATCTTTTCGGTCAGCGAAATTAAACGAAGTTAATTAACCTACAATTGCGCTTTTTGACGTCAATTTTCTGTTTTTCACTAACTTCCACACGCAAAAACTATTACCAAAAAATACTAATTAAACTAACATGCAAGTTTTTGACCGGTTAAATTGCTCACCGATATTGCCAACAATTAGCATTAAAAATACATTACTTAGTACTTCACATACAGGTGGGAGAGTTTGTATCTTTTTTTGTTTCAGTCTTTATATATCAGTTTCTTGACACTTTATTGAGTTTTGCACTTCCTTGTTTGTATCAATTTTCAGAGTATCATCTTTCAGGGAAATCATTTTTATCATTTTTCGGGGAAGTCAGTGTTAGTATCTTTTTTTTCGAAACTTCATCGAATTCTAAACTTCTTCTGAGATGACTTGTTCCTTGAATATGAAGCACTCGGAAAATTTTTTGCTTTGTTTTGATACGAGCAGTTTGATTGTTCCAACTTTCGAAGAAAGTAAAGAATATATACGCTTGGGGTGGTTTTCTTATTCAGACCATTTATAAAAAAACTTTTCGCGGGGAGCGAACCATGGATCTTCGTAGTATCAGAAGTGTTGTGCGCACCACTAGATTATCTTGACGAAAAATTTGTTGTGAACCACTCAGTAACAGACTGACATGACAAAAGCTCTGTGATACTTTGATGCTGGAAGTTTAACGCGCATTATTTAAGCGTGGCAAATTATCCCGCACCCACCACAAAATCTTTCCGAACTCAATTGAGGCATTATTATTTCAACACAAGATTCTTAATATTCAGTTTAAAATTCTTAGTTTGTCAATATTTCATTGACCGGAAACTATTCGAGACCATTTTATGGACAGTTGGAACGTTCAGGGCGCAGCCCTGATACGAGCACTCGTGTTTATACTTAACATCGTGTCAGGCAATAAAATGAAAGAAAAAAACCTGTTTGTTGTATGTTTTATCAGTTTTTTTTATTGATTTTTTTATCGGGACATTAAAAAGCAGTCGAAACAACTAAGGTTTTTCCATGATATGAGCAGGTTTGTCGTTGAGTTGAGTGTGAGATTTGAATCATTGTTTAAGACGATATTAGTTCCATTATCAAAATTGAATTGGAGCAAAGTTTTTCGTTTAATTTCCTCTGAACAAGAAGCGTTTCAACGGCTCAATTAGTCCATTGAAATACAAAAAAGACAGCCGGTTGCTGTGATTCCAGAACGATACGATCGCAAAAAAATTGTTCATTTAGGCATGAGCGACAACATTTGTCTTCAAAAATTGAAGAAAAAAAACTTAAAACTTTTTTTTCTAATTTTTTTGCGCAATTTTTTAAAATTCTTTAGTGCAAAATGAAACATCCAAAACTAAATTTTGCTTTTGTAAGGTAAAATTTTTATCCTAAAAACCTGAAAAACAGTTAAATTCTTTATTACGGGCCTCACTAGATTGCGTTACGCGCTCGAAATTGAAATAAATCTCAAAACTTTCACAAAAGGATTTATTATGATATATCACCCGATCCATTCCAATGATTAATTCTGAAACTCGACTTTGCGTGGAAACAGAAACGAAAAAGAAAGAAAAAACTTAAACACTCCTGAATACAAACTTCCTTCCCATTCTCGGTATTCGGATTATTTATGGAGAAAATTTTATTCAGGAGAGATTAATAAATTATCTCCATTTGATTGATTTCCAAGTTTCAGAAATGGCACAGTCGTTTTTGGGAAATTAAACGAGGTCTAAAAATGGGTCTATATGTCAAATATTTCTATTTATCATAGCGCATTCCATAGCGGATTCGGTACAAAAATGTGAGAGTTCGCTAATGTAAGGGATACTTTGTTCTTTCGATTAAAACTTATATCAGATTTGGTACCATAGTTACCAAAAAAATCAGAGAAACTTTAAAAACAAAAAAAAAGACTTTCTCTAAGTCTAATAAATTTAACATTGCTTTCATACGTCAATTGGGGCGCAACCTATGTTGAGAGAAAGTCACCATCCTATAGTTTATAATTTAACTTAATCTTAGATTTGGTGGTGTAAATTTTGAGATCATTGAAAAAGTTTCCAAAACATCAGTCAATAGTACTAATTTTCATGTAGAACGATCTTTACTAGATGGATTTACTCGCTCGAAATTTAACAAAAATCAAAAATATTAAACCATTTCTTGCTCGACACTGGGGCAAAATCTTGAAATTTATTTAATATCGCTCAAGTCACGACTGAAAAGGCTTTAATATGATCTATGACTCGACCCATTCCGATGATTATTTGTGGTACCTGAATATGCCTGGAAAACAAATTAAAAAAAGAAGTTAAAACTAAAACACACCCGAATACAAAGTTCCTCCCCATTTTTAATAGTCGGAACAAAAAGCGGATACACTACTCATTGTAATGATTTTATGAAAACCTTTATAAAATTAAAAATCTACAAAGTTTATATTTTATAAGATAACAGCAATAGCGGAGGGAAGTGGAATTAAGCAGTTCGAAAAAAAATACAAAAACTGTTTTAAGATAATTCTTTTTCTTTATTCGTCCAAATTGTTGGTTGTTTCGCAGGTTTTGACACCGCTGCACTAATTTTCGTCAGTCTAGAGTTCTTCGGCTTTGAAGTTCTTGTTCGCCTGCCCCAGTTCTTCTTTAGAAGAATATTTTGGTCGTGATTGTTTTTCGTTCATTTCTTGAAGAACGCCTATTAGATCAGGTTCATAAGCTTTCTCACCGTGTTCTACTTCGTCCAAACCCATCGTTTCGGTTTCTCGACTCACTCTCAAAACTTTAGCGAATCTCATAATCCAAAATATGACTCCTGTGAGGACCGAAGCCCATGCACAGATCACCAGAGCTCCAATTATATTCCAGAGCAGAAACTGAAATGCCCTGGCATCCCAATTATAGAAAACCCCTAGTCTCGTGGCGAAAAGAGGCGCGGCTATTATTCCCCACAAACCCCCGCCGAGGTGCACCGCGACCGCGTCTAAAGGGTCGTCAACGCCAGCGTAGAAAATTCCTTCGCTCCAGGCTACAAATGTCATCCCGGCTACTGTTCCTGTAACCAGAGCACCCCAGGGTTCCACGACATTGCATCCGGCACAAATTGCAACCATTCCAGTTAGAGTTCCGTTGATACACTGGGGCAAACTGAATTTATTAGTTCTGATTTTGGACACCAAAATAGCCACTATTCCTCCTCCATATCCCGAAAGAATAGTGTTCAAAATTGCCTTTGAAACCACTTCGCCATCACCTTCGTTTGATATTGCGAGCTGCGATCCTCCGTTGAAGGCAAAAAATCCGAAGAAGAGTATGATTCCTCCGAGGCACATCAAGGGAATCGTATGTCCTCGGATCCTGGAACGTACTTTCGTCTCGGCGTCAAACTGTCCGATACGAGGACCCAAAGCGATTGCTCCCATCAAGCCTGCAATGCCTCCGACGGCATGAACAACTGTGCTTCCTGCGAAGTCCATATAGAATACACCATCCCATGGGGCCTCTGCAGCCAGCCAACCTCTGGGATCCCAAACCCAATGAGCCACGACCGGGTAAACAAATCCGGTGATACATATACTGTAAACGAAGTAGGCGTAAATGTTAGTTCGTTCAGCCATCGCTCCCGATACTATTGTAGCAGCTGTTGCAGCAAACACGAACTGGAAAAAGTAAAAGGCCACTTGGTTCGTAGGAAAATGCGCCAAGAAAAAGTAAGAATATCCTATAAAAGTGTTGGACTCTTTTCCGAAGGCCAAGGCATAGCCAATCGCCCAGTAAACAATAGCAGCTATAGCACAATCCATCATGTTTTTCATGAGAATGTTAGTCGTGTTTTTTATTCGCACTGCGCCCGCTTCTAAGAAAGCGAAACCACACTGCATAAAGAAGACTATCATTCCGATTATGATCAGGAACAGTTGGTCCATGTTTGAGTTCAGTTTCAAAAGAGCTTCATTGACTTCGTCCGCGTCCATTCTCGGTGCACTTTTAAAAATGAAATAAAAATTTTTTAAAACCAAGCTTCAGAAACTAGGTTGCTCAGTTTTGCTAAAAATTTATAGTTTCTAACAAATGTATAATTAGTAGCAAAAAGTTCGGACAGACAGAATTAATTAAAATGAGCAATCAGTGCTTTTCGACGCTTTTTTGCATGCAAAATCTGAAGCCGGACAACCTTGAACTTTTTGTCAGACCAAATTCGAAAAGCAAGATCATCGATTATCCGATGATTATGCTAGCCTAATTTTTAAATACTGCGATCAACATCTAGATTTACTATAAAATATAGCGAAATTAGTTTAAAAATAGAAATCTAAGGTTATTTTGAACAAAAAAAAACAGATTAGGCCGTTCCAAAAAAAAACGGAAATAAGAAGATGACCAAATCATTCAAAATTTAGAAAAACTTTAGCCACTTTTGAATAATCTTCCTGTTTCAAGGTTTACTATTCGCCGCTTCTGAAACAGTTGCCCGCCGTGGTTATAAGTTTTGAGTGATACTCTGCTTTATAAACTTTCGACGTTATGTTTATTTCAGTTTTTATTTCCGCTGATGTCTAGGCAGTTGCTCTTTTTAATTAATTCTGTCTGTCCGAACTTTTTGCAACTCTCTATATTGGACGTCCTTATTATATAGAGAGTTGCAAAAAGTTCGGACAGACAGAAATAATTAAAAAGAGCAATCGTACCATTTTGACAGATTTTTGCATGCAATTTCTTTTTCATGCAACCTTGAGACACAAAATCGGACTGAAAAATTAGATTTTGCATGCAAAATTTCTCGAAAATAGGTCAATTGCTCTTTTTAATTAATTTTGTCTGCCCGAACTTTTGGCTACTAATTATAACTTCAAAAAAGCTGACATGGAGAGTTGCAAAAAGTTCGAACAGACAGAATTAATTTAAAAGAGCAACTGTCTAGACATCATGGGAAATTAAAACTAAATTAAACATAACGTCGGAAGTTCATAAAGCAGAGTTACGGGGTCTACTTAACAATCTCCCTTTCAATGGGGAAGAGGTCGTTAATAAGATTACTTGCAGCGAAATTTCGACCAATCAGAATGCAGCAAAATTCGAGTTTACATACAATGCTCTGGTGCGAAATTACAGTTTTTATTTACAGGGGTGGAGATTCTTTAGTAGATTCAATAGGGGGGAGATTGTTAAGTAGACCCGAGTTTCGCTGAAAACCTATGATCACGGCGGCCTATAACCACGGCAGCAAGTCAAGGTTGTTCGGCTTCAGATTTTGCATGCAAAAAAGCGCCAAAAAGCACTAACTGCTCCTTTCAATTAATTCTGTCTCTCCGAACTTTTTGCTACTTATTTTATTTCAGAAAACTTTTGCATCCAAAAGCTAATTTTTCAGAAAGAAAATACGACTCAAGGTCACCTGAAAATTTAAACTTGCATGCAAAAATGCTCAAAATTGTCAGATTGTTCTTTTTAATTACTTGTCTGTTCCAACTTTTGCTACTTATTATAATTTGCAGCAAAAATATGGAGCAGACAAAAAAATTAAAAAGAGCAATCTGCTAAATTTGAACTAATTTTGCATGGAAATTTTAATTTTTAGGTGACATTGAGACAGCCTTCTTGTCCGAAAAAAAAATTTTGAATACAAAAATTGTCTAAAATAAGTCAGTTGACCTTTTTAAATAATTTAGCCTGTTCTAATTTTTTGAACTCTCTGCATATAGAGAGTTGCAAAAGGTTTGGACGGACAGAAATAATTAAAAAGATCAATCGTCCCATTTTGACCAATCTTTTCATGCAATTTCATTTTTCAGACATCTTTAAGCCACAAGTCGGTCTGAAAAATTATGTTTTGCATGCAAAACTTTCTCAAAATAGGTCATTTGCTCTTGTTAGTTATTTTCTCGGAGTTGCAAAAAGGTTTAGCTCGGGGGTTCAAAAATTTAGGACATTGCTTAATAAACTTGTTAAAAACTAAATAAGTTTTCGAAGCGCAAACTACTGACGAACGGACTACACAGTTCAAATTCGTAAAATCTTAAAATGACCAGTGATTAGCTTGATGCAAACTTTCAAATAAAAATTAAACTATGTCTACTTCTAAAATAAGAAAAAAAAGTAGGTCTACTTCTAAAATAAGAAATAAAGTAGGTCTACTTCTAAAATAAGAAATAAAGTAGGTCTACTTCTAAAATAACGATACTAAAATTGCTTCAACGATACCCAACAGTCGTTGCAGATGTTGCCCTTGATGTCCCTGATGAGCGTGGAACACGTCGGTCAGCTTGCCACTCTACCCTCCGGTCACCGGCAAAATCACCATTAACGTGCTTAAACACTCAAATTACACTCGAGGGAGGGTATCCAACCCTTCACCAAAACACACAACCTTTCTATCAGAAACGATATAAATCAATCTGAAACAACAACAAATAGGAAAGTCAGATCACATCCCGTCCGGAAATAACATATAAACTGTCACTTTATGTTTTTTACTGTTTTTGGTCTTTTTTGGATTTTTTACTGTTTTTTGTACTTTTTTGTTTTTAAATAAATTTGTTTTTGGCTTTTTCTTGGTTATACACTATTTTTGTTTGGTTTTACGCTTTCTCTTTAGTTGTTTTTGGTCCCGGGACCTCGGGACAAGCGGGTTCATGACTTCCCACCTAACCCTCCGGCCCCCGGAATTTTCGGTGTTAACTGAGTTAAAAAGCTAAAGTGTACTAGACGGAGGGTACGCACCTTCCCCCTAGTACAACAACGGTCATTAAGACCTCTAACTCGGGCATACGCCCGGAGCGGAGGGTTCGTCGCTGAAACGCTTGCTGATCATGATGGTTGCATGCCTTTAACAGGCCCACCCAGGAGCGCCATAAAAACGTCTATGTAACATTCGCCCAAATATCACACAGCGACGGAGCGTAGAAAAAGTACCTATTAACGACTGGCAGGCGTCAGTTACCTTAATCCTACTCGTTTTTCACCGTCTCGGCCTTGCCAGTTGATTTTCTGGTCTGTTTAGGGCAAAGTAAAAAAGTTACCATTTTCAGGCCATCAGTCAAACGACTTTTGATCAGCTTTCGTTTACATGCGAACACAACCACATAGCTGAGTCTCGGATCCTCAGACTACATGATTGTCATTAAAAACACGGCTCAAACAACCTATTTTAATATGTTTTTGTGTGACAGTTCTATATTAAATCCATTGGAGATGGATTGACCCTTTCCTTATTCTAGCTACTCATACTCTGAAAAATTAAACAATAACGGTGTTAATTAAGATCTATGACATTATAGCAGCTATACAGTCAGTCTATACAGTCCCTTCACATAGACAGTCTCTGGGGGACCAAGCCTCCGCTCCCGTAATATTCTTGAGATACACTCTTATCTCTTATATTTCGTGTCCCGGGAGGGTCCCGTGGTATATTTCTTCCCCCACTGAAGCTTCCTTCTCCACAAATTTCCGTCGCTAAGGTTCTTATCGTGTGTTATCGCCACGATAAGAGGCTTCGTATTTTTTCGTCTCTGATACGACTGTTCTTCACAATATCTGTCGTTGTTCTTTTCTCGTCTTTTTCATTCAAAATGGCCGTCTTTTTTCTATTTCTCAGAAATGTTCACTCTTCAATCGAAATTTTAAAATTAAAAATTCCAGAACATTCTGACACTCCTTCGCAACACTTTTTTGTTCATAAGGCCTTTAGCCGTCCTTTTTTACGTCGCCGGAAGGTTGTGCTGTGTCATCTGGCAGAATGGCACATACTCCCCGGACAAGTCTCCATCAATGTCCCTATTGATCGCATAACACCGGGTTATCGTCAAGTAGTTATCCAGTTTTCTGTAATCAATCTTACAAATTGCATAAGAAATTGAAATTTATCTACTCCACCTCAACTCACAACGTGTTCACAAATGGCATCGTACTACATCTCACTGCCTTTCAACATTTTCACAAAATTTGCACCATGAGGAGTGTCCCTTATAAAATTTCTTTTCTGACTACTTACGTCGTCTTGCCATAAAACTTCTTTTCGCTCTTCGTGATTAAAAAGTGGGACGTGGCACGGCCACGCACCCGAAAAAATTAACTTAACTTCACTCACCAAGTATAATCAGTCATTTATGCGGTCCTTTCAATATTAAAACTAAGAAACTCTGTGGCTAGGAAAGTTCTTGAGTTACCCACCCTTCCAGAGCGAGTTTACTCAAACTTGCCATGTCGCCACACAGTGAATTTGTGTCTTACACAGGTTAAAAACTTCAGTCGTGAATAAATAGGTAAATATACTCACCTAGGTTCCTCATATACATACATAGATAATAGTAACTAAAATCAATAATTTCAACAATTTTAACAATTGCAACAGTTTTCAAAGTTTGGTCTGACCAAACTAAATCAAAACAAAAAGTTTAACAAGTTCAATAATCAAAACTTGGTTGATTGGTTTAAGTTTTAGCACACAAATACAATCAAGTTTTCTCTCCTTCTCTTCTCTTCTTTGGTCATCTTCATTTCATCACTTCTCCATCTTGATCTTCGCTGTCTTCCAACACTTTCTCCAGCATGTGCCCCAACTCTCCTGTTCCAACAGCCTCGGTTTGCAGCAAAGTAGCAAGTCCACATTCACCTTCTGCTCCCGGTTCCTGCAAAAGCTGTTGTGAAGACATAGGCTCACGTTTCGTTCTAGGTCAGCTCTTAAGACCTCTTTCTTCTCCTCTTCAGTAACACAAGGCGTTCCAGCTACCCGCTTCACCGCTGTGGTGACCGCGTTTCTGTGCGTCAAGAATGCTCTCTTATAGGCTCCTGGTCCTATATCTAGCTGGAAAGATTGATAGGCTTCCGTGTTCCTTGACATGTGACGCTTCGCGCGTTCATACATCCAAGATGTCATCACTGCACGGAACCAAGGCATCAATCTTTGCCTTGACCATATTCTTTCAATGGCTTTAGGTATCCTCAGAACCTTGCAGGTGGTTCTGAAAAGATCCAATTCACGACTCATTTTTACGTTGCTCAGCTGTTCAGGAGTCGGCACGGCCGTCTCCTGCTGACTTGTGTCCGCGTTAG